AGCAGTATCATCCTAAGTTTTTTCTTAGATTTGCTCTTAATTTAAATAAAGAAGACATATGTTCTTAGGAAAGGTTCTAAAAAGCATTTCTATGTCTGATTCATGAACGTGATCACACCTCTGTTCCTAAAATGGTGAATCCCATTGTCACAAGTGACAACTACAAAGCCTGTGCTAGTAGTTGTGATTTTGTATAAATAAACGCCCCCACCCCCATAAAAGGGCATGAGACTGTAGGGCTGTGTGTACGCACAGGAATCACACAGAAATTGAAAACAAAAAATGAGAAACTCAGGAATGCTGCAATGAAAATCAGTCATTGAGGTTATTAATTTCACATATGCTTTACCTGCTATGACAATTGAGTACTAACACATCACCCCACTAGTGCTTCTCAACACCTTCAACAGCCCACAACAATGGAGACACAGTTGCAACTCATATACTGTAAATATTTATGGGCATATTTAAGTGGGCCACTTAGTAGGGGGGGAAGGTATTGTGCAGTTCATGTTCAATCATTTTTCATGACTTTTTCCACTACATAGCCTCCTACTTCCTGGTATGTTCATGTGATACCATGATCATGAAACCAGGACACTTATATTCAACACATATTACTCCAAAAGTACTAAAGGTTAGGGATGTGACATTATCAGTCTAACAGATGTAAAAATCAGGTGTTTATTAGCTGTTGTTTTCTTGGCACTGCTGACTGCTCCTGAAAGTAAAACCAAAAGCTTAAGAAACATGCCACCATGCCTCTATCCTTTTTGAGTAACTGTACTGTACAGTAGATCTTATATTCATACCATATTATCTTATTATTAGAACATCTGGAAATCAAGGACTGTAAACTGTGCAAGTACTGTAGGGGTTTATTTGCCCTGTAAGACAGCTAACACTGTTTTTGTCTTTGCAAGCTAGTGATGATTGTTGGAAAAAAGTGAACTGACATTGTCACAGCAGCTGCTATGCATCACATCACAATGGCTTTTCTTTGAGTGTTGGTGCTCCATTATGTTTGAAATTACAATTAAAAATATTGCATTCCCTTCCCCTTCCTAGATCATCCTGAACTCTATGCACAAGTACCAGCCCAGACTACATATAGTAAAAGCTGATGAAAACAATGCCTTTGGATCCAAGAACACTGCCTACTGTACTCATGTATTTCATGAGACAGCCTTCATCTCTGTAACTTCGTATCAAAACAACAAGGTACAGCAACTATCAACACATTAATGCTACACATATTCTACAATGGGTGAATGAAATAGAAAAGTGTGGACAGGTTCCTGTCCATCACAGCAAAGAGGCTAAACTTCTAGTGTTACTTTATTTGCTTCATTTATTGTTTTGTATATACTGTACCAAACATAATGAAAGTTTTAATATAATATCATTTTCTTAGATCACTCAGCTGAAGATAGAGAACAATCCATTTGCCAAAGGTTTCCGAGGTAGTGAAGAGGGAGATCTGCGTGTTTCAAGACTACAGGGGTATGTTTGCACAAAAAGCAACCAGGAAAGTAAAACTGATCTAATAGCACCATTCAGCATACTGGACATCTCTCATAACTTTATCCTAGTGTATAACAATGAGCTCCTCAGGAACCTTGTTTGCATTTGTATATAAGAATCAACCTTCTCTCCTTAAAAGATTGAGTGGAATTGTAAGTAAACAGATTCTGATTCTTTTCTCTTGCTGCTACTGATATATAGGAAAGAATATTCTGTGATTTCAAAGAACATGGTTCGCCAGAGGCTTCTCTCCTCACATAGTCACCTTGCAGGGAAGTTTGGAGCAGGAGTTCTAACAGGGCACCCTCAAGTCCTGTCCTCTTATCAGTATGAGACTGGGGTTCCATTGTCGAACTCAGACTCCCAAGATCCCATGTCAAATCACTTCCCTCAGAGCAGAGATCCCAGCCTTCTGTATCACTGCTTCAAACACAGGGGTATGTCACTATTCAGCAATCATATAAAAATGCACACAATACAACATGCTCTTTTAATTTAAAATCTATGCAGCTAACTATATCACTTTGCAGATAATGCCCGACACCTGGAGCTTGGATGTAAGCGGTCATATCTGGAGACATCATCTGCAGGCTCAGAGGAGCATTACTTTCGTTCAGGTCCCTCATATGAATCGTCCCTACTGTCTCATCCATACTGCACAGAGGCAATCACCTCTAGAGAAGCTTGTATGTATGGCAGTGTGGAAACAGAGTGTGGATCTGGGCCGGGGGACACAGATGAGCTAACCAACTCCCCTTCGATAAATTGCAACATGTGGGCTACAATGCAACCTTACCCTCACTATAGTGTGGAGGGTGTCCCATACCAGCCCTTCACTGCTCACTTCACCAGCACTGCCACAATCAGACCTGTGGTACCACATCCCACTTCATCCATGGTGTCAAGGTCACAGGTGGATTTGGGTGTCTACACCTCTGCTTCAGCCCAGAAAGGTCTGCCTGTCATACCTCAATCGTCCTCTTCATCAAGCTCTCCAGCTGTTTCAGGATCCAGAGATAGGTCAGGTCATCCACCTCTGTACCACAAGAAGCCAGGGTCACCGTTCCAGCCTCTTAGAGATTTCTCAGCCTATGCCACACAAGGCACTATATCCATCCAGGATCCATCCCATCAATATTAAGTGGGGCTGAGCAGTGCAGGGACTCACTGAACTGACAGTTAATATTAAACACCACAGAAGCCAGTTTTATCTAATGTACAAATCTGAAATTAATCAAGAATTCAAATACCCATAATGGCTGCTGATGCCAAGCAATGGTAATGAACTGAACACTGGCAGTCCATTCTAAAACTGTTTACGGCCATGAGTTCTCACTCACACACTATGACATAGTATGTATGTGGTGAACAATAATCTGGTAATCAGTAACACTAAGGTGCATTTCTCACACTCAAATGCAACGCATAGACTTGAGCAGCACTTTAAATCCGTATATCAGAGAGAGCATTGAGCTTAAAGGTATACAAAGTTTGCCAGTAACGAGTTACAACGATCCCAACAGTGATATTTAGCTAACCTGAAGCAAAAGTGAAGATTCACTTTATATTACATAAAGATAAGGGAAAATGTGAAGATGCTCTCTAGAGGGCCATAGAGTACAATTTAAATACAGGACAGCCTTACAGGGAAAACAGAGCAGTGAAGATTTTAACATTTCACACAGAGCTCCACCTACATAGAACAAGTTCAAGGGATGAGTCTGGCATTATTCTACATCCCAAAATCAGAAAAAGTTGGGACATATGTAAAACCAAAATTAAAACTGAAAATAGTGATGTGTAAATCATATGTGTCCTGCATTACATTGAAAACAATACAGCAGCACATTATTTGATATGATACCTCATCAATTTTATTCTTTGTTCAAAATAAACACTCACTTCAGTTCTGATGCTGCAACACATTCCAAAAAAAGTCAGCGCTGTTGCATTTCAGGGCCAGTAATGAGGCAAAACAATGAAATGATGATTCTATTTGAACTAGGTGATGTCAACAAGTGACTCCAATCATGACTTGCTACAAAAGTGGCATCCAGGAAAGGCCGAGCCCTTTAGGAGCAAAGATGGGCCAAGGACCGACAGTTTGCCAACATACAGTGTGTGTGAGAAAATTATTGAAATGTTTAAAAACTATGTTCCTCAAAGAAAGATAGGAAGGAATTGTACTGTGCCAAAAGGAAGCTTTATGTTAACAGTTTCCAGAAGCACAGTCGACTGCTCTGTGCTCAGAGGCATCTGGGATGGACTATCACACAGTGGGAACGTGTACTGTGGTCAAACAAGTGAGTATTTCAAGTCTTTTTTGGAACATTTCTGTGACGGCTCCATTAATGCTGAACAATACATAAAAATGTTGGAGCAACATATGCTGCCTTCAAGATGACATCGTTTCCAGGGTCGCCCGTGCATATTTCAACATGACAATGCAAAACCTCATACTGCACACATTACCAAGGCCTGGCTGAGGAGGAAAAGGGTGCAAGTGCTGGACTGGCCTGTCTGCAGTCCCAACCTGTCCTCAGTAAAGAATGTGTGGTGAATTTTGAAACCAAATGTGTCAATGAAGACCCAGGACTCTTGCACACATTAAGACTTGTTTGCAGGAAGAATGGGACAAAATGACACCTTTCACATTTAATCATTTGGTGTCCTCAGTCTCTAAACGTCTTTTAATGTTGTGAAAAGGAATGGCAACATCACACTGTGGTAAATGCTTTACTGTCCCAACTTTTTCTGGAATGTGTTGCAGCATCAGAATTGAAGTGAAGGTTTATTCTGAACAAAGAATAATATTGATGAGGTATCAAATCAAATAATGTGCTGCTGTGTTGTTTTCAATGTAATACAGGACACGGATGATTTACACATGACTGCTTTCTGTTTTAATTTAGATTTTACATACCAACCCAACTTTCCTGATTTGGGGTTGTATGTTTTTCTTGTCAACAAACCCTGTAAAAGACAATAATGTTTTAGTCTGTCTCTCAAGACCTCCTGACTTCCCTACCCTGTCTGTGGCTTCCTACTAATGAATGTAAATCTTTACAAATATATAGTTTCATTAAAAAAAGAAAGGTTCATTAATTGGGCACTGTAGTTTGTTTAGTCCATCACTTCCTGCTATGCAAAGCGAGGTGCCTCGCTGTGAGGAGTGACAAGGTCAGAGCCTCAGTGGCAAATTTGCTGCATGTGTCCTACATGCACATAATTTTGCATTCCAAGTCAGTTGATAGACTAAATGCACATTTGGTGAGCTGGTGAATATTTTGGCAGTATGACAGTGTATGATGACTTGAAATATATTATAGTGGTATTGTAGTAAGGAAAGACCATGTCCAGCTGTGCAGTGGTGTGGTTCACTAATGTGAAGAATCATTGGCTAGTTTTAGATCTTTTCATGGGATTTGTTGAGAAGAAAAAAATATATACTGCAGAATACTGTCAGCCTTAAGATGCATTCAGGAGGAAGGTCCAAATGGTTTCACAGCCAAGCCAATTACAGTATTCACATGTGCCAAAATGAGATTTGCTCCACCATATGGCAATAGTCCACTGAGTTCACTGCAAAGTGAGATGATCATATTAATCAACAAGGAATTGTATATACATTAAGAATTGTATATACAAAGGCATTAAATTAACAAGCTATTAGTAGTCTTTTTGCAACGGTGTGCATAAAAAAAACTGCCCATCATGAAATAGTTACGGTGTAGGCCTTTCTGCAAATACTTTCTACAAGTCTCTGCTAGTTGTGTGCTACTAGCACTCATGTTGTGAGTGACTGAGCCATTCTACTGTGTTTGGTTGTCAAAGCTTGGCTCCAAACACATGACTCCAAACAGCACTCTAGTTAAACAGGACTGCTAAGAACTCTGAGGCAGAGCCAGATGGGAGCTTGAGGAACTGTTCTTAAGTCACAGTGAGTACTGGAAAAGAGAAAAGCACACAAATCCCACTCCCAAATGACTTACTTGGAAAAAATCCTTAAGACTGCAAATAGAAAACAGCCTGAGCAGACAGGGAAGCTGAAAGAAAAAGGCTCTCAGTAGGACTACATACAGAGGAATTTGAACTTGCATTGACTGTCATCAGATATGTTGCAGATCCCTTATGAATTTGTGCATTGTCCCTTTATTCTGTGTTGTTACATGTTTGAAGATACTGACACTTTGCACAATAAAGATTATTATGCCTATAAGTGTTTGCCATATTTAATTCAAGACCAACATTGTACTCCTAAACTACATGACAGTCACTTTAAATGTTAAGAAAGTACCATCTTGGTACCTGAAGCTTTGCATACTCTAGTATTTTCACGTTAAAACCACTGGTAGCTTTCTTATTGTTAGATACTCTGTAAACTGTTCAGAAATATTCAATTAGAGCAAGAACAAACAATAGCTTTGACTTTTGTTTTTACAGCCCAACATCCCTAGGAATTATGTTTCTATTGGATTATACCACATTTTAGAATTTACATCCAATGCCAATGTTCAGTGCCAGTGCAGAAGGTAGTATGCCCTTTACATAGCATAGGAAACCAAAGTCACATCCCTTTACAGACAAGCAATTGTTCACTACCACTAACCTTATAAATGAAGCATAATCATTATCAACCTTAATCAGGTGCTTTAGTTACCTAACCACATATAGCCATGACCTTTCCTTGACCTTAGCCATATCATAGTTGATTTTATACCAAATAAATAAACCCATCAAAACATTTTAATACAATAACACCAATTATTCCACTGTCCTGTTAACAAATGACAAAAAGAACCTCCAAATTTTAATGACTCTGATCAAATATGTTCTACTGACATAAGATGATGTGAGACATTACAAACTAGCAAAAGCCCATCCTGCTGTGGTTGTCAAAAACAGTAACCTGCCAAACCCATGCACTTCAGTGCTGTGTTCATTCCCAAAGAAGCTTGTACAATTTATGTTAAAAAGCTTTTGAGGATCTGTGGTGATGGAATGTGTCTTCAGACAACCTTACACAAATTCTGAATACTAAAGCAACGTCTCCATTGCTGTACTGGTTTTACATGGTGATTTATAAAATATAAAGACCACTCCTTGGACTCTACATGGTGCTGTCCATTAGAATCAAGAAGCAGCATTTAAGTAATAGGTAATAGTAGTTGAGTATCCACTTGAGCAGCAATTAGTAAATACAATTAAAAGTCAGCATAAACCAAGTTGGTAAAAATGAATGGAGACAGCAGGATGAGCACATCAGCATAAAGGGGGTGCTGCTTTACCTCACACAGAGCTCTCATGAGTTATGCTGATGGTTTGTGTCATCACCTCTTTCTCTATCTCAGCTGTGGATGCATTTCACATAAAGGGAGGCTCTTCACATGACTAGCTTAAATGTGGCAATATAACAAGTCTGATACTAGTAATCATTTAACTGTCCAAGTCACAGTTGTGGACAGCAATGGTACTCTTTAGCCTAATTAACCTAAGGGCCATACATGTGATGTTGCAAAGTTTACCAACCTCCTTAACTACATATCATGTGCCCTTTCTTTTTGTTGACCATTTTCAAATGAATGTGGTGCAGTTTTTGATGTTCAGATGTGTTTGGCTGGTTTCAGGCAACCATCAGCTTTCATTAGTTTAAATACAGCAAAAAAAAGCCATCAGTCAAGTCTTGAAACTTGTTCAAGCTGTGTAATCCCTCACAGTAAACATCAGATCCGAGTTCATTTTTGTCAAACCTATTGTTATATTTCAAGGGAACATATTCACAGAAACAAACAGATGATGCCAGTGGCTGCCTGGAATTAGAGACAAAATATCTAAAAGCCAACAGCATGTTTGGAAAAATGGCTAGCTGTAATAAACAGTATGTGATTTGTAGTAAATAGGGTAAAACATAATGCTTGTATGGAAACGCTGTCTCCTAGAAACTTTGCTAATATACGTACGTCTGAGGGAAATATGATTGCTGCCTGGATTATGTTGACATTATACCAGTGAAGGAAGTGCTCTGTTCACGTACTGCACATGTGTCAGGGTGGATGACAGTGGACATACAATGTGCAGGAAATGTGCAGGGACAGCGTGTAAAGCTGCCGATAATGTTGGGGGTGAACTCAATTATAGGGT